TGCTAGCATTGCATCATTGTTCAGAGCTTTTTACTGTCAGCAGCTTTGATCTCACCAGATGAACAGCAAAGAAATTATTGCGATGTTACTGTTGTTAAGGTGGAGAATGAAAAAGAAAAGCTAGTGCTAGTATTCTTGCAAGAAATCTTATTTAGTTGTTGTAGTTTGGTAACATACTATTACATATTTGATATACATGAAAATGAGGTCTTATATAAGTAAAAATATTGTATTTCATATTACAACTGTTGATGAAAATTATGGTTTGGTGCAAGAAGAGACAACCATCTCCATTACACACAATCTTTATTTACTTAAATAACAATAATAATATATCCAAAAGTTTTCTTGCTTAATGTGTTTGACGAAGTTTTCAATTTTGAGCTGATATGCAAGAATATGACTTTGTACACAAGATTGTCAGAAAGCTGACAGTGAGGCAGATACACACCCAAGCAAGATATTTATTTTCATTGACAGTCAAAGGATTGTCTGAAAGATATAAAACTAAAAATAATTTCTATCATTTCAGAGGATGATGACATCAGTGTGTGGATGTTTACAATGATTGGGATTGGCTGCATATTTGTTGTATTTGTTGCGGTCTCCATCTACCTCATGTGGTGAGTTACAGATGTTGCCTAAAACTTAAGGCAGTATTCAAGCACTTACAGATATCTTAAATTGAGAGTCAGAGACTGAGCATGTCATATGGTCCTTACTTTTCCCAAGGCTTTATATCTTCTAAGTCTTTTAAAATATTTTATTTATAGTTCAATGTGCTACTTCTTTGGACTTCATCCACAGACTGTGAACCACAAAAAAGAAGGGTGACCAGATCTCAAAACTTCACTTATGAATATTTTTCAAAATATTTATAAAGTTTGTGCTGAATCTCATGTTATGTTGAAAAGAGAATTGATAATCAATGCCATCTCTGATTCTTTTTTATATATTTGACAAACATGTTGATAACGTTACATATATTTTACAAATATATTAGAACAGACAGTTTGCAGTGCATGTATTGTGTAGTAATGAGTGTTGCTTTTACTTTTCATGGTTTCTGTGATGTTTTTGCTTTATGACAGGGATGAAAAGTGAATGGTATCAGAATAGCCGTAGTAAATGTTTTTAAACTTGAACAGTTAGTTTATAAGTTATTTGTGCATGATGCATAAGAAATTATGCCCTCCGTGAGGCTTTTACGTGCAGTATATACAAAAAATGGAGTAGGACCTGAATATATATTTTATGCTAAAACTTCTAAGTAGGTACATTATCAGTTTGTTTCATAAAATTATTGGGGGGATGTTTTATAACCACACTGCTGCAACATTCAGGTTCAGAGTGTGAAAATACTGAAATCAAACTTTTAACAGAGTTTTCTAAATAACAGAAAACCTTTTTAGCTTACACGTCCCTTTGAAGATGCTATTAGGTTAATACTGTTCATATGAGAATTGTCAGCATGAACAGATGTGGAAGTCGGTTTTAAAATAATCAGCTTTTTTTACTAACATGCATGACCAACAATTATTGCAGGCGAATTGCAGTGGGAAAGGCCAACTGCACAGAGGAAAATCGGGGTCCCACACACCAGCGGTTCCCTTAAATACATGGTTAGTGGAAAAAACTGATGTTTAAAACTGAACAGTTTTAATAATGACTCATTGCCTGACAATTCTAAGTGCTAAGCTGTGATGTGTTGCAGTAATGGCAGTTGGAGTATTATGGGTCATTATTGCTCGGGGCAGTCAATGCCACCACCGCCATCCCAGCAGCAGCAAGTGGGTGTAGATGTACCAGAGGTTAAACCTTGATGAGCAGCCACTGAGTGTGTTCCATAGACTTTTGTTACAGTTATAGTTTGAAGTGATGTGGAGGCAGCAAGTTGAGAATCTGGTTGAATGTTGCAGTGTTAACTGTACTCTGTCTACTGGTTTGTAAAATTAAGCACAGGATGAGAGAATTTTAGCACGTAAGACTATCACAAATTTCACAAATGAAAATGTATATGATCACAAAGCAGAATATTGTACAGGTCTTGTACCTAGTGTGGCTGAATTACTATCTTGAAAGGTAGCTTGAAATATTGCAATATGTTAAGGAGTATGACTGAAGTGGGAAGATACACCCCAATCAAGTACACATACTCTTGTACATTTACATGTAATTCCACTGATTATCATTTACCTGTGTACACAATATACATTTAGCATTTATAAAGTCACATAAACAGTCAAAGATAAGTAAGTGTAATGACAAATACAAAGTCTGATGAACACAGGAGATAGAAAGTCACACTTGTCTGTTAGCTGGGAGTATTGCCGAAAGGAAAACCAAACAATGGTCCGAAATTAAGGTAAATGTACTTATGTATTAGTTATCCTCAAAGCACCATCTTACAGATATTACACTTGTTTTATGTTCAGTCATTCAGGGGTTGACACTAGTGTAGATGCTGGAATAGTTGTAGGATTTTCCTTCTTTGTGTTCCATCAGATCTAGCAAGGAAAATGTTGCATGAAATGGAAATGCAAGGCATACTGAGCTTTCAAACCTCACAGATTGTAGATGGCAGAACTTTTACTTCAGAACTATCTTTGTAATGGAAGGGATATAAAAAATGTCTGTGTTTGAAACCCAGATGTGATCATAGATGTCAGTACATATTTGCCACATCAGGCAAGCAAATTTTCAGTGTCTGTGCATTTATACTTGTACAAAATAAAGGAGCAGTTCTTCTGGCATGGATCTTTGCCTGTCTGTCTATCTGCATTGAAGGTTATTGTGACTTAAGTCATGAAGCACTCAAGATTGGTGCTTGCTGCCGGCCTTTCCATTTGACCAGCTCCTGTAATTTCTAACTGTTTTTGTCCTATCATGTTTCAGACACTGAAAGTTAGGCCAAGTTGTGATTATTGTGATAGCACCATAACAAAAAGTACATTTCATTGAAAACCATTGGATCTCAGTGCCAACATTTAAACCCATTATTCTCTTATAAAAAAAATACTTCCATTGCAAATGCCTGTTTTATGGGGTTATCGAATTTTCAAGTATTTTTAAAGACATTAATATGTTTCTGGTCTGATCAGCCAATTAAATAAGTAAGTTACTTAAATAAATCTAAATACATGAGCAAGACCATTCGAACAAACTTGAAATTTGCAAATAATATTTGACGAAAACAAGAATGCTAGTGCAGGATCCAAGTGACAATATTCTGCATCTTGTGGGGACACAGTGTAAGCACTGCAGCAACCAACAGATGAGCTGGTGGTGAACAAGACAATATTAAAGGTTGTGGTGTGGCAATGTCCAAAGTCCTGCCAAATACTTTTCTGATATTAATACTATTACATGTTTATTTTCTATCATCCATTGTCATCTCTAACTTCTGTGTGCAAGTGTGTGACTGAGTGCGAACATTTTAGTGTTGTTTATCACATGAAGAGTCTGAAACTGTAACAGTTCATTTGTAAATATAAAAAAACTGTAAATTTTTATGGATACATTAACTGCGCTGGTACAGAGCTCAAGGCAATTGTAACATTACTCATTATTGTTGTATTAATACTGTAATATTATATTATGCTGGGTGTAAATGTAGTATAGGATGACAATATATGTCAGAACCTGTCATGAAATTCTTTGATTGTATGAAGCATGGTATCATTATATATTTCATGTACTCACCACTTTGAACTGCTTCCAGCATTGTATTTGACATAAAATCCATAATATCTTGTTCCAACATTACAAATTAAAGTTCATTCTAAAAGTATTAAATGGAAATTTGAAATGACTCTGAGTACTTGAGGAAATGATAAAGGCTTAGCAGAGTAATATAGTTACTTATACATATAATGAACTGAACAGAATGATGTACTGAAAAACATTTTGAACAAGTTGATGTATTATAATCAAAATTCTTCTTCAGAAACCTAAACAGATGAACATGTTGGACATAACAATGGAACAGTTGGTATGAGATCATGGATGTATTCTTCAAAAGTCTTTGGAGAATCTGCAAACCCATTGTGATGTGGCTGTTTACACTCTTGATCTATCATCTCTGTTTGAAGTGTCATTAAGAACTGCAGAACAAATGTGTATTCAGGTATGAGAAGTATGCTATATTGAATACTTTCATTTTTCTGAATTTCTTCAGGGGATTACTTGGGTAGTCCCATAAAATAGGCTATAACAGCTTCAGGTCCTAAACCAGTCATAAAAACAAGCAGTCATTACAAACTGTTTCCTAAAATAACATCAGTTCTGTAAAAAAGAAGTAACTAGGAGTTCACTGTACTTAACAATTGCAGCTTTCTATTAATATTAACTAACTAACTAACTTGATGGCTTACTGAAACTGAAGGTTCATCACCGAATTAACCAAAGCCGTCCACTGGACCCTGTCCTGGGCCATCAAAATCCAGTCTCCTTCAACTCCTGTCTCCCATGGTTTTTTTGATTTTTCGGAAATTTTGAAAAAAGCTAATTTTTTTCTAGGCTTTATATACACCATACCTATCAGATCTGTCCTCTCCAGGACCCAGTCTCTGCGAGACTGTATTAGCCTCACACAGCTTCTACCACATTCGCTCTCTGCTTCTCCCAGCTCTGCTGTCAGTGTCCGTGCTTCACCTACCCTCTGCGGACCCGGTCTGTGCCACGCAGGGTCTCTGCTTGCTGTGGTCTCTCCCTCACACGTTCTTTCCTTGACTCGTTCAAGCCCTCACCGTCTGCCGAACCAGGTCTGTATTGAAAAATTTGACAGTGGAATTTTTAAAATTTTCTTTTTCTCTTTTTTTCACATTTTACACACTTTCCATAATTTTTTCATTTTCGAAAAATTTCAAATTTTTCAAAATTCTCCCCATCTGATGCCTTGCAGAACCAGTGTCTGTCGGACTGTTTCTTATGTACTGTGTCTCAGAAGAACGCGGTCTGTGCCTGACTCGGTCTCTGACGCGCCTTCTCTGAAGAGCCCATGTGAGGCAGACACCACGAAAGGCGGAGACCGAGACGGGCAGAGCCACTTTCGGTCAGACGAGTCCTGCAGAGGCCTGTTGATGCAGACGACGCAGTCAGCATCCGGGTGAGATAGAGGCCGAGTCCGACAGAGACGGTGAGGCACTCACCGAGGTTGCCATGAATCTCTTGGGGAGAATTTTAGTAAAAAGTTGAAAAGTTTCTAAAAATCAAAAAAATGCTGGAAATTGACCTAAAAGCGCACAAAACCAAAACAAATTTAAAAATGCAACCTTCAAAATTTTCGTTTTGTGCGCTTTTCAGACAATTTCCAGCATTTTTTAATTTTTAGAAAATTTTTAAAATTTTCCAAAACTCACACCAAGAGATGCCTTTATCTCTCCCAATTGCTGGCTGCCTCAAGTGTCTGCAGCAACCGGCCTCTGCAGGACTCGGTCTCTATTTCTCCCGATTGCTGGCTGCCTCGGTGTCTGCAGCAACCGGCCACTTAAGGCAATGTCCTACATGAGCGATAAGAAGCGAGCTGCATAAGCAACATGGGGTATCATATGACATGAGGGAATCGCTTGTTGTGTCCTTCGTGAGAGACTGCAATAAAAGCACACGGTCTTTCTGCGCATGCACCTTCCCTGTACTGCACAGTCAGTGCCTTTCTGCGCATGCGCCTTACTGGCCAGCGCAGCGACATGCCCAAAAATATCAAAATATTTGATCTTGTACTTTCGCCGCCGAACGCTTCGCTGTCACTTAGGACAGCGCCGCACAAACAGCCAGTTTGATATTTCCGCTTCACCCACGCAACTCGCACCGCTCGCATTTAATCGCTCACGTAGAACACCGGGTAAAGGACTCGACGTGTGACCGACCGTCTCTTCCGGTCTCCATCTCTGCCTTACGTGTTGTCTGCAGTACCTGGGCCTTTCAGAGACGGCACGTCAGAGACCGTGTGTGGAACAGACCGCGTGCGTCACAGACACAGTACATCAGAGACAATCCGACAGTGACCGGTTCTGCAAGGCAGGTGGGGAGAAATTTGAAAGAAATTTCTAAAAAGTGTAAAATCTTAAAAAAATCAAAAAATGCCAGAAATTGTCCAAAAAGCATACAAAAACCAAAAAAAATGAAAAATTCCACCTTCAAATTTCTTTGAAAATTTTCAAAAAAAATGGTTTTGTGCGCCTTTCAGACAATTTCCAGCATTTTTTGAATTTTCGAAAAAATTTCAATATTTTCAAAACATCCGAAGAAATGCATGCGAGCATCGGTGAATGACTCATCCTGTCTCTGCCCGACTCGGCCTCTACTCACCTGAATTCTGGCTGCATCGGTGTATGCAGCAACCGACGTCTGCAGGACTCGACGTGTGACCGACCGTCTCTCCCCGTCACGATCTCTGCCCTACGTGTTGTAAGCAGTACATGGACCTTTCAGAGACGGCACGTCAGAGACCGTGTGTGGCACACACCTCGTGCTTCAGAGACACACCGACAGCGACAGGTTCTGCAGGGTATCAGGTCGGGAGAATTTTGAAAGAAATTTCGAAAAATATTTTCAATTTTTTCGAAATTTTAGAAAAATCAAAAAGCGCTGCAAATCTTCTGAAAAGCGCACATAACCAAGAATTTTCGAAAAATTCTGAAAAAAATGAAAATTTTCAAAAATTCTTAGTTTTATGCGCTTTTTGGACGATTTCCTACGTTATTTGATTTTTCGAAAATTTTAAAAATTTGAAAATTTCTCGAAATTTTAAAAAATCGAAAATGGTTGCAAACGGCATGAAACGCGAAGATAAATAAGAATTTTTGAAATTTGAGACAATTTTGAAAACGGCATTTTTCAAAAATTCTTAGTTTTGTGCGCATTTTGAACGGTTTCCTGCGTTTTTTGATTTTTCGAAAAAATTGAAAAAATTTATCAAAATTTTCTCCTCACTATCCCGGCCAGGACCGTCTGTGCACGTCCCGGTCACTGCCGGACTCGCTCCCTGCAGGATACGTCGTCTGTATCACCCGACATCTGCCAGGCCGTCTGTGGAAAGACCTGGTTCGGGTGAGGCACAGACCGAAAGCAAGGGGAGAAGTGTGACACAGACAGAGTAAGGCGAAGACGTGGTGAGTCACAGAAAATGGGAAGCAGAGCTCGGGTGAGGCAGAGACAGAGTCAAGCATGAACAGGCTGATGCACATACCGTATCAAGCAGAGACGGTGAGGCACAGGCCGAGTCACACAGAGACCCTGTTAACCAGAGACGGAGTCAAGCAGAGAACTGGTGAATCACACCGTGTAAAGCAGATACCGGTTGAGGCACAGACAGAGTACGGCCGATTGGACGATTTCCTACGTTTTCTGATTTTTCGAAAAATTTGAAAATCTTCAAAGGGGTACCCCTTTGAGAAATTTCAAAAATTGTCGAAATTTTCAAAAAATCGAAAATGGTTGCAAACGGCATGAAACGCAAAGATAAATAAGAATTTTTGAAATTTGAGACAAAAATTTTGAAAACGAAATTTTTCAAAAATTCTTGGTTTTGTGCGCATTTTGAACGGTTTCCTGCGTTTTTTGATTTTTCGAAAAAATTGAAAAAATATTTCAATATTTTCAAAACATCCGAAGAAATGCATGCGAGCATCGGTGAATGACTCATCCTGTCTCTGCCCGACTCGGCCTCTACTCACCTGAATTCTGGCTGCATCGGTGTATGCAGCAACCGACGTCTGCAGGACTCGACGTGTGACCGACCGTCTCTCCCCGTCACGATCTCTGCCCTACGTGTTGTAAGCAGTACATGGACCTTTCAGAGACGGCACGTCAGAGACCGTGTGTGGCACACACCTCGTGCTTCAGAGACACACCGACAGCGACAGGTTCTGCAGGGTATCAGGTCGGGAGAATTTTGAAAGAAATTTCGAAA